TTTTGGTTTGGTTTTCTCTTTAATTTCTAAAAAAAATAACATCGAAATTGATATTTGTATAATTGTTCGGTTCGTTTATTTGGTTTTCACCGAATAGTGAACACCCTTAATCACGTTACTAACTTTCTATTCATTTGTTCATAGCTTTGAGGATATTATAAAACAAACCAGCTAAACCCAACACATATATTATAATACCCAACACTAAGAAGAAGATAGCATACGATAGATTGACTTGGAATTCGAAACCCTATCCAATGTATATGCGAGCATGTGCATCCCTCGGTAAAGCGAGAGAAGTGTGCCATTATTACCTATGCTATCTACACCACAAGAAAAACTAAGTGAGTAATAACTTAGTAAGTTAACCTATGCATGTAAATGAAATGTGTATAAAAATCATTCACATGTGTAGTTCATGAAATCTTTCTCATGATCGATCCGAAAATTCTTTCGTCTTTGGATATGTCCCATATTAGGTATTTCAAGGTTTTCATAAATTGTCCAGCCAACCGGACCTATTTGCAAACTACATAATCGAATCTCTAAAAGTACACGTCCTTACTTACCGGACCCTAAGCCATAAACCATAAGTGGTATGGAAAACCCGTGAAGTCCTCCTAATAAAAACGTATAAGTCATGAAAACCTCAAAAATCATGAATAATTCCAATTGCTATTGGAAATATTTTAAAGGAAAACTTCCTTTTTCATAACTTAAAATCTTTCAATAAAAGTTCTTTCCATAAATTGGCATGCTTGTGTATATAATGCAAGTACATTATGCATATATGCTATGTTTTCCATGCCAATGGTAATACCACACAAAACATTAAATTTAACCATAACGATGCATTTAGTAACATTGTAAACATGTATTGCCATAAACATTTTACTTCATAAATCATGACCAAACGTCCATAATTCACATTTCAATCACCATAACATCATCACAAGTATAGCAATCCACATTTCAACAAATGATCACATAATGGTAGATCACCAAATATTATGCAAATTTTTCATAAACATGAATATTCATATATAACCATCCAAATTTGCATTTCAAGCACACGCATCATCCCGAAATCATCGTGGAACTATCAATTACACAATTATACATCAAATTGTATTAAAAATCCTAGTTTAGACATAATGGGTTGAAAGTCCAATAAAGAAAAACTAGGGAAGTTTTTCATTTTTAACCAAATCTTTTATACTAATACATCTTTTCTAGGCTATTCTAACTTAGAATTTACCAATTAAACACTTAGGAATCAAAAACTCATAAACCCTAATTGGGCCTTATGAAATTAGGTCCAATTCTCAACATTTTATGCAATTTTTCATTCTTAATAATCAATTCAAGCATAAACAACACATAATCAACCAATAAATAACCAAACCAATCAAAGCACCAAAAAAAATCCAAATTTCCTATTTTGGCCAAATGCTTTCTCTATCCTAACCCTAGGAGATTTTAATTTTTCTTCATTAATTTTAAGCTCAATTAGCATGATGTAACTTCAATTGCATGAAATTTTAGTTAGAATCATTTTCTCCAATTTACCCTAACTAAGAACCATAACCCTAATTTTCATAATTTATGCAATTAAATCCAAATTGAAGCATCAAACACAAAATTGACATGAAATTAAACTTTCTTGTTGTGTAGGTGAGATTAACTTACCTAGAGAAGCTCTAATTTCCCCTTGAAATGTTGGATTATGTTGAAAATGTTTCTTCTCCTTTTTCACCTAATATTTTGGCCAAGCTCATTTAAATTTCTCCTTATGAATTTTAAGCTTTCAACTTGAAATTAAGGTCTAATTAATTGATTTAGGATGTCTAAAAATGGTTGGAAGTGTTTTTGGTTGAATTTGAGTGAAAATTTGGCAAGAGTTTGCCTTGTATTTCTCTAATTTTCTTCCATTTTTCATTTTTCTAGCATTCATATTTATAGGCAAATTTGGTGAACTTTTTGACTTATTCTCTACCTTAACTTGGACAAATCTTGGCCCCTAATTCAACTTTTAATCCCTTCTCATTATTTGGCTTAATTTCTAATCTTTTATCCTTCTTTTAATCTTAATCTTCCATTTAGCTTAATTAGAGCTACTCATTTAACTAAAAGTCAAGCTTAATTAATGCCTTGATTTGGCAAAAGATGGGAGAAAATTACTCAATTTTGGTTCTTCAATTTCTAAAGTTTTCCATTGATTAGTCTTTCATAAATCCTCCTTTTATTCAATGGATCACATTAGACCCTTCCTTTCAAGTTTTTTTAACAAATTTTTTACTCTTAAAATTCATATCTAATTTAATTTGAAATTTTAAAATTTTAATTTTATGCAATTGGGTCTTTAATTTTATGCAATTAAGTCCCTAAATCTAAAATCGCATTCCATACCTTTCCAAATTTCAAATTATTTTTATAACAAATTCAAAAACTTCCTAAAAGAATTTAATCATCATTTACATAATTTTTATACACTTATTTAGGCTTTTAAATTAATTATTTTGTGTAAAAAATACACTATTTTCTATAAAGAGTATTTCTTACAAATAGAAAAATTCATCTAAGTTTATAAAATATTCCTACACATCCAAAATAATTTTTCTATACCCATTAGATAATTTTCTTGTACATTTAAAGTACCTAAATTAATTAATTTACTTTAAAAACACTATTCATATATAGTAAAGTTCAAATAAAATATTCATTGAATATCGGAAAATCCATCCAACATCATCGGATAATCTAATACCCCTCTAAAAAATATTCTACGCAAGCAAAATATTTTTCATGCACATTCGTCATGCCTAAAATAATTATTTCACACAAAAAGTCATTATTCAAGCATCGAACAATTCATAAAATATTCACTAAGCATAGAAAAACTATCTTGACTCGTTTTGAATATTCTAGCTATCCATTAAAGATTATTTCATGCCCATAAAATATTTTTCATATGCTTTTATTATTTTTTAAATTTATTAAATATCAATTTTTAGTGGGTATAAATATTACATTAGCTTTCAAGTAAACCAACTATGTTCTATTGGTATATTTTTATAGTGGCCACAAATTTTGAATAGATATTCATAGAAGTGCAATATGATCACTAATTTAACATATAAGGAATAACACATCATATCTCAATCATCTACCTATCTTAATTAGATTTCTAATGCAGTTGACAAATCACTCATATGCAACTTTTTACTAAGTCCATCAAAACAAATGTCAAAACACACCAATCCTCTAATGAGAAAATCTTATTAATTTAAAGTCAAAGGACTACTTGTACTCATCTCGTATGACATTTTTCTAAACCATACCAAATGGGTTCTCATAACTAGTCAAGTCTAGTGATATGTTCTCTAATATTATTCACTTATGTGCTTGGTTTGACATCACCATACAATAGGTGTGAGATCTCCTACTCATATCTTATAGCTATAGTATAGCACTCACAAGTCTTACCGTATATTGTCAATGTCTAATATTGACAATGCTATGACTTGAGATGTTTAATGATAACATTTATATGCATTGATGTTTGTTTTACATCTATTGATCAATCATGAATGCAATGTATATCATATGCACTTCTATCTATTCTATCAAATTATAAATAACAAAAATTAATAAAAAGACTTCTTTATTAATTTTGAAAATGCAATAATATAATATATCAAACCATCCAAACAAGTTGGATCTTGAGCACTTACACTAATAGGCTCATTCCTCCCTTTTTTTTTTCAATCATAATATAGGCCCAATTCCTCTTTTTTTCTTTTTTCTTCTTCTTCTTTTTATTTCTTTCTTCTTCTTTTTTCTTTTTTTTATATTGGGGATTAAAAATAGGGTGTTGACAACTTTGTTGATATCTAAAGTCTTGTCATATAATACTTGTAAACACTATACAACATAAGGATTCTAACTTGAGTACTACATAGAGAATTTATATCTTTTCAAACACCTTGTTGAGTTTAAGTGCACCATACTTTAAAATTGCAGCCAATATTTTCTTCTTTTTATATTGAATTGAAGTAAGCAAACATGAAATCTAGCTTTAGGGTGTTCATCACTTCAAGACAATATCCTAATTGTTTTTATGCTACAAAAACACAAAATAGATTATTCTTCATAATCTCATTGTAATTGTTGATTAGTAAGTGTACAAATTGATAGTATTGATGTTTTTGAACATTTGGAGAAGGAATAGGATATGGATAACATGATCATGGTTTGTTAAATTGTAAGCAAAACTAGTGAAATTAGGGGAGATGTTGAATTATATGATCAAGGATTGTGTGTTGACTTGTGAAATTAGTGAAAAATATGGTATGTTTGATAGGTTTGGAGGTATTTAAGAAGATAAAGTTAGAGAGAAAAGATAAAGAGATAAAGGGAGAGCGATCGATTTAAGTAAAAACAAAAGCTTGAATCAAATAAGTTTGAAATAATTAAGAACATGGGTGTATTTTCAACTTTATTTTCTTATATTATTTTATTTTTTAAATGTATTAATTTTTTTAAATATATACTCGGTTTATTGTGTTGTAAGACTTACAATGTCACGTGTCATTATTTATAAGTAGTGTCCGAAGGTAATGTATCATGTTGAAATAAAAATAAACAACATCATAAATGAAGGTTTTAAGCAAAGCAAAATAAAGAGTAGAAGGTCTTAATTAATATAATAAAAATAATAAAGGTTTCAATTAAAACAATTTAAAAAGTGAAGGGTTCATGTATGGGTAAAATTCAAAAAAAAAAAAAAAAGAAGCAACAAAAGTCAACCTCAACCAGGTCTAAAGTTTAATTATGTGAAAAGTTAGGGAGATTACTATAATTTGCAAAAATCATACTTCCTGCAGCTACTAGCTTCGTCACCAAAACCTCGAAGTATAATTTCTTGCAGGGTTTTAGAATTAGTAGAAATCAATAAAACCCTAGGGTTTGAGCTTCCGAAACCCATTTTCAAAAAAGAAATGGCAAATTCATTGGCTGCTCTCTCACGCAGACTTTACTGTTCCCTTCTCTCATCAAACCCCAAAATCTTACAGCTTTCAATGCCCTTTTGCTCCACCACCACCAACAACCTCTCCTCTCGTGAAGAAGACTCTGAATCGGACGAGTCAGACACTAACTCAATCCCCAACTCAACTCCCTCATTTTCGTCATCATCAACAACAACAACACCTGAAGGATCGAGGGCGCCGGGAATGGTTCAAGATCGTCCCCTTGAAAACGGCCTTGATGTTGGCGTTTACAAGGTATAATTCTACAGTTTACTTCAAAATCATCAATTTTTCCTCTTCTCTTTTTGTGTGTTATATCTAGTTTTTTTTTTTTTTTCTTCAGTAGTCACAGAGAAATAGGAAATGTTTTGTAGGTTTGATTCTCTATTTATCGAATGTGCTAAGATTTAAGCTTTATAAAGATAGTTTTGAGGGTTTTGATTGGTGGGCTTTGTATACTTTGTTTGTAGGCGATATTGGTGGGGCAGGTTGGGCAGAATCCCTTGCAGAAGAAGTTGAAGAGTGGAAGGGAGATAACGATGTTCTCGATGGGGACAGGTGGGATTCACAATAATCGAAGGCCTTTGCAGAATGAGGATCCAAGGGAGTATGCAAATAGGTGTGCTGTTCAGTGGCATCGAGTTTCAGTCTACCCAGAGAGATTGGGACGCGTTGTAATGCAGAATGTTGTGCCTGGGTAAGGTTTTAAGCAAAGTCTAGTTGTTTTACTGTTATAATAACTATGAATTGGTTGTTAGAATCTTATGATTCAAATTGATTCACATAAAAAATGATGTGAGTTGTGTGGCGAATAACAGATGGACATGAATCATGCTAATCTGTCATGATTCAATCCAGTTCAGCATGTAAACCTTTTTATTTGGTAGATCTTTTGATTTGAAACCAAGTGTAAGTTAAATTTCTGCTAAGGGATGAAAAGAGAGCAGGAGAGACAAGGAGGACAACAAAGATGGCGGTGGTGATATCAATATTGGGGAGGATTAATACTTTTTATTAAAATTCAAAGATTTCTAGTAGTTTGACAGGTTAAAGATACCTTTTAGATGTATTATAAGCTATTAAGTCACTAGGAGGATCAAATACCAAAAATACCTTGAGCTTTTTTGAATTTTGAGACTTTGGAGTCTTTTAATAGCTTAGAACAGTTACATTTAAATGGATTGATGTGCATTTTTTAACAGATGCCATGCTTTCTTTGCTCTAGAAATATGTAGGATGTTATTTATCTTTTGTAATCCATATCTCGTTCGTCGCCAAATCTTACAATTCTGATCCAATTTGATTTATGATTCCCAAAATGGTGAGTTTGTATATCTTATTTTCATGGCTTTAATATTCTAGCATTTGGAGAATTACATTTGGTTCATATCTAAGGGAATCCAATGTTGGTATATATGGATATGCTGTCTTAGCTGGTGGGTTTAGGCTTTTTAATTGTAATGCAATAGCTGTCTAATCAGGAGGGCTGGATGGGTGTGAGAAATGCTGGAGTTGTATTAATCTAAAGAATAATCGATGAATTTTACTAGCTTGTTAAGATAACTACAGATAGTAGCAGTTTAATTTGCTTACTTGAAATGTTGTGACAAATGACAAAGGCAAAATGTTAATGTGATGTTTAACAAGACTCTTCAAATTGAATGGTTAAAAGGTGGTGAAGCCCTCTTGATGCATTTTGTACTCTCCTCATACCCTTAGTAGTCTATATGTGATCCATAATAAAAGTTTGTTCTCCTAAATTTACTTGGCTTGAGTGAAAATGCAGATTCTGAGAACAGTTTATGTGCTTTGCAAAAACATTCCCACTTGGGTATTACTATTAGCTACTTTATGATTTCATTTCTACCCAGGTGATCTGAATTGTGCTGAGATGATAAATAAGGCATGGCTTTTTGCCTGCTATAGCTTTTGATGTGATCTGGGAGCCTCTTGTGGACTTGTAGTAGTTGTTGACTATGTATGAACTGTTTGGGTACCTGTTATGGACCAGTTAGTGATGCATCTCTTGCCTATCTATTGTCTTTAGGTTATCATTGGAGATAGATATTTTTTTGTTATTGGCTTCTTGAGATTGTTCTGTCCCAACCTAAAGGTACCAACCTTCTTTTGTTGTAACATATGTATGGATTTTCTGATGTGAAATCATCTTTTATAACTGTGCTTGAATTTCCTTGACCTTTGATTTATCTTTTGGTCACTGCTATCTTTTGCTATAGACATCTTTGTTGTTGATCTCACTTCTTTCTTTTAATTCTCCTGTTTATTGTAGTTCAATTATGTATGTGGAGGGGAATTTGGAGACTAAAGTCTTCACTGATCCAATAACTGGTATAGTACGGCGAGTAAGAGAAATTGCAGTTCGTCAAAATGGTACTTTCACTTTCTTAGTCCCTTAACTAAAAACGAGGAAGAGATACTCTAATCTCATGCAACCCTCTTTTGTTTATCATTATCATCATTATTATTACTTTTTCTGTTCTCTCTCAATTTGCCTTTGGAGATTAGGACTCAGTTGATGGACTTCTTTTACAAAGATGAATATATGTTTATCATTAAGATGGATATGCCAATTTCTCTGTCAACTCTCTCTCTCTCTCTCTCTCTCTCTCTCTCTCTCTCTCTATATATATATATATATATATATATGATTAAAACGAACCTTTGTCATGTCATTGTGATTGCACAGTGGCAGTCTACTATTTAATTGGGATCTGCTGCTTCAGGTGGCAAATTCTTATCGAGGGATCCTTCTTTTACTTATATTGATATTTTGGATTGATGATGAATTCTAAAAATAAGCCTACAAAGCCATTGATAATTCTTTTATCTTTTGAAGAACTGATAGTTACTATAGATTGCCTTTTTTTTCCTCCCCAAGTACAGTTGTGATGAGGTTTTTCAAGCTAGTTTCTGCCATTCTTGTTGGGCCTGAAAGCTTCTCTCTTTCTAAGAGGATATGTGCTTTGTAGTCAACCTCTTGCAACCAGATCAGAATCTGTGAGAATTAACTTTATTTGTGGACTTTGCAGGCCGGCTTGTCTTTCTGGGAAAAGGTGCTAATGATCAGCAAGCAAGTCCATCGGAGCTGAAAGGTGCTGGTTATTACTAGAAGCATAGCGGGAAGCGCTCAAGTATTAACACAAGACTGACTTTCACATTTGTAATTAATTTTTGAGTTTCCCTCGAGGTTAATGGAGGCAGAAAATTTTTTCTGCTGCCAAACGTTTGTGAAATTTCTTTAACATGTCATACTGGTAGCATGTAAGGTCTGGGAATCAACATTTTTTTATTTGCAATTGATGTGAACTGCCAGCAGTTTCAAGGTATGATGTGGCTCTTGTGATTAGGGTTCTGGCCATTTTTTACAGAGACTTGCAATAAGAAGCTCCTATTACTAAAGCTTTGGGTTATGCCTCCGCTCAATCGCCTCTGATACCTCTGCAATTAAAGTGTATGGTAACCCTATTGTCATCCCATGTCCCACTTTAGCTAAATACCAAAAGTTCTTAAATTTAAGGACATGAAAGCACGAAGGCTTTTTTCTTTTGGTCCCACAACAAACAAGAAGCACTGTAAAACTCATGCCCTTGGAATTGGAGGCAAGGAATTTTAGGGAATTTGAATATGGGTACTTACAGTCTTAATTTATACTCCTAATCCATTGACCAAAACAGTCCTCTGTTTCAGACTTCCAGTGGAGGAATCGCTTCTTCATACAATTGGAGATGTTAGCTCTCAAAATACTTGGGTTCATATAGCAAGTAATTTTTCAAGAGATTTGTGAAGTCGAGTTTCTTGGAATTCATATCTCTCTTTAGAACATCTGATCAAATTGAATCAATACGGTGGACAATTGCATTAATTATGCAATAAAGTTATCCGTTGAACAGTACCTCAAATTCCCTAAACCTTAAAAAAAAAAAAAAAAAAAAAAAAAAAAAAAAAAAAAAGCCAGAGGGGGAGAACTTCTCATTTTCAAATCACCATCGCTTTCTAAAAATATATTATCCAAAGGTGCATTACACAAATATTTTGAAAATTGCAAGTTGATGTGCGCAACAATTCACAGAAAACACACATATAACCATAGCAAACACATAAACACAAGCTGTTGGTTCCCCAGCAGAAACTATACCACGTTACCATGGGGCTTTAGCCATTTTATCAAACACACGCCCAAGGTTCTCAGAATTCATCTCCAATGTTTCAATCTCAAAATCCAGTCTATTTATATTCTCTTTCACTTCCCAAAGCTTTGCCTCAAGACTTCTCCTCTCCATTTCGGCCTTGATTCTTTCAAGTCTGGCTTCCTCGCACCTCTTTGATTTATCAGATAAGGTGACAAGCCGTCCCAACCTAGCAAGCAAGAAGCCAACATTCATTCCTAAGCCCAGAAGAGATTTCAAAGTCTTCTCCCAAGTTGCAAAATTATTCCGAGAGGTAGTAACCTTCGAAGCTCTAATGGCATCTGCAATGTTAATAGTCTCTGCAAGTATTCCAGCAACCAATTTACAATTAAGGCCATGAAGAAGGTGCTCGTGGAGAAATGATTTTTGACTGCAGCAAAGCTCGTAATACTTGACTTGGAGGCATTTGGAGAGCTCACAGTTTATAACTAAACCATCTACAAGAATGTCGAAATCCTCAAAGCTTTTCACTTCTTTAAAATCAAAAACAGATTTGGACAATCTGATTCCATCTGTGATTTCAAAACCAAGATCCTCACTTTCATTTTCAGAATGATCTAAATCAGAATGATCTAATCTAGGCCCAAGGTCAGTAACACAGGTTATCACGTCATTCTTTTCAATGTTTTCTCCAGGATTGTCCAATAAGCGTTCCAAATCCTGATCTTTCATTCCTTCTCTTGCCTTGCTCAGATTCTCTACATGGACAGCATTACTGACCATCAGCAATGAAGACATTAGTTAGATATTGTAATGATTTGAGCCATTAATTGACAAGAGAGCATAAGAGTGTACTGAACTGTGAAACAACTTACTAGATTTCATTTGTTTAACACAAGCTTCCGATTTCAGAAGGCCAAGAGCACCATCTACTTTTATTGAACCATTTGCTCTCACAATATAGACCTTAAAAGAAGGTAACTAGCAATACATAAATATCAATTTATAGAATAATGATAATTTCATATCTCGTCCATGAATGAAAGTCTCCTTCCAGATAATCTTAGAAACTCCTTTCCGGTCCTTATTCTTCTGCGATAAATTGATTCCCATCAATGGCAGAGGGAAAAAACAAGCTTCAGATTTTACAAAACGAAAAAAAATAAAAGTTGGCACATTTCAGCCTTCATGATTCACTAAAGATTCATAAACACCAGGAACCAATGAATCTAAACTAAGTGTAAGTTTAGGTATGTGTATCCTCCAAGCATTATTATCTTATAAAATATCTTATTCTCTGGGTTAAGATTTAGCATTTAAATTGCTCCTCAATAACTTATTCCTCGTAATTTCAAACGCTAAAAACAACTTAAAATCTACTGGCTGAAAGATTTGTTTCCCAAATCAATCCCAAAACTTCTACAGTAACTGAATTAGTTCTAATTTGATGGTTCCAAAGAGTAGCAATTGAAATCAAGTAATCCACAACTATACATTCAAGGACAAGGTTCATGCAATTACCTTGAATTTGGTTGGATTGACGAAATGAAAAATCATGACATGTCCCTCCTTTAAGTTGCAATCAATGGCGAAACATCTCCATCCACCACTAAGGCCTGCCTTGGAAGCAAGATATTTTGTTGGATAACTTTTTCCACCTTCGCTTTCGTAAAAGATTGCTGTATCCTCCTCTTGCAAATGTGCATGACAAAATTTCCTCCCAAGATTCTGCCATCAGAAAAGTTAGCTCGCACAGATCGCTCAGTAAAACAAACATGATAAAATATGAAGTGATAATGAAAAAATCAACTTTGAGTTACGAGACAAAATTCTCCAGAAACATTTGAGGGCACCATATACTTTATAACGCAAGGGAATTCAGGTGCTAGATTAGCTTGAATCTCTTTTGCTTGCATCATGGCATCGGCCTTAACTTCCTCATAATTATCATATAGGTCACAATATGAGTCTCTCATTCGTTTGAGGCTATATAGTATTAGGATATAATGGTTATAAAAAACAATTCAGCTTCATACACTAAAAGGGATATGACTGAGCCATTGAATTTAATTCACTAACCTTTCAGACTTCACAGGAACATCATCTGGTACCTGTTTAAAAATTAGCATGGCTTTATAATCAATTGATCCTTAATCGTTTTAAAACTTTAAAGAAGCAGACCATGTTTGACAGTGCATCAAAATTAATACAAGTTTCCACAAATATAAAAATTGTCAAGAAAAAGAAACCCAAATGATTTCATGGTATAGTAGATTCAAAGAAAAGGAAAGAAAAATGTAAACATGTTTCAGACTCATCTTCATAGAAAAAGAACATCAGAAGCCTTTTACAAGCTTATAATTCGCCAATGTTTCAAAGCATGTTCTTTAAGTCATTCTCCGCTGAAAAAGAACTTTATTTGAAAACCCACAAGATATTTGTAATAATTCTTGATAACAAGATCGAAAATTTCCATGTAACATAGAAACCCTAACGACACAAACACTGATTAATTGTACTTATTTGGGGATGACTTTCCTGTTTTTTTCAAGAATTAAAACAGAACGGACCAGCGAAAATAGCCCTTCCCCACCCACACGAAAAAAAAAAAGAGTAACCAACAATATACGAATTATTGTCATCCATCATAATAATAAAAAGAAAGAAAGAAAGTGACTGACCACTTGGTGTGTGTTTGCTTCAACACAACCATTGCTGTACTTTTACCCAGAGAGAGGGCTAGATGAGAGGATTAGTGTTTTAGTATAGCTAAAACCCAAGAAGACTTAGCTTGATATGAATTTTTGTCCTGCGCTAAAACCCAGGGGTTGTTTTTAAATTTTGAATGGGCTAAATCTATCGTAGTACAGGTAGGCTTGGTAATTAAGGATATTTTACTTAGTTCAAACCTGACAATCAATATGTTAAACAATTTATCAATTTTTTCTGATTATACTAGACTAAGGTAAAAGTAGGGGTGAGCATTCGGTTAAACGGTTCGATTTTTAGTTAATCGAATTAAAAAAAATAAAAATCAAAACCGAACCGAAATAAATTCGGTAAATTCGGTTTGTAACCGAATTATTTCGGTTTTAACCAAAATATTTTGTTATAAAAAAAATCATTACAAAGAGATATTTTGTACTAGCACTTAGTCCACTAACCAATGAAGTAACATCTTGTTATCAATTAATCCTTTTTATAAACAATCACAAAGCCCTTGAAGATTTTAATTAAGCTTTAATGAAAACAAGTCCAAGTGTAATAAATTTGCTCATTTAAACACGTTGTATCCCAATTAATTACACTATGTCACTTTCTTTTCTTACCCCAACGATCTTCAAATTTTACTTCCCATCTGCGTGTTTCGGTTTCAACAAATATGAAGATTGAAAAGTTAGGGATTTAGAAATTAGAAAATTTTTTACTATTTATTTCGGTTTTCGGTCGAAAACGAAATATTTTTTCTAAAAACCGAACCGAACCGAAATAATTTCGGTTTTTCGGTTCGGTTTTATATTGTATAATTTTATATTTAAAACCGAACCAAATTTCATAATTCGGTTCGGTTTTATTCGGTTTTTGATTAACCGAACCATTTGCTCACATCTATAATCAACTATGTACTTGTCATGTCAAAACGCTTTATTGAATATGTAATTTAATGTCTGATGAGAAAAATAATAGATTGTTTAAGTATTAAAGAAAAGTGTAAGATTGAGTAGTTAGTAGAAATCATAAAATCTATCTATGGAGAGTATCAGGTTGAAGCAATTGTGCAACGATTGCTCTATTTTGAATCCTTAAGAATGATTCATCTTTATTGTCACTGCAACAGTATTGTCTGTTGAATGTGAAACAATAAGATGTGGAACAATGCATTGATGGGTTGAAGAGTTATTGGTCAGGTATTGTTAAAGAGAAGAACTATTTATAGTGTAGGAGAAAAGGATTAGTTTGATTGTAATTTTTAAGTGAAATACTTGTTAGTTTCAATGGTTTATTTGATGGTCGAGGGACGGAGTGGCCAGTGGTTGGTAAATTTGTGTATGGAAGAGATAAATTTTTTTGCATTGAAGTGCTGAATTTATTTAATTGTCTATTGTTAACTTTTATTTTTATTTTTTTACAGCGAAAAGGCTGTTATTTTTAAAGGTTGATGTGATGTTTGAATGCTAGGTGTGAATAAAATTTGTAAGAAAAGAGTTGGTGGTTTATTTATGTGCTCTTGAGAAGACAAAATGAGGTCTTGTTTTATCGGTAATGTTTGCTTTGCAAAGGAATTTTGTGAGAGGCATGTGATTAGGTTGGAAAAAGAATTAATTACATACTAATGTTTCCGATGCATTATTTATTGAATACGTTTTTCAATGAGCTTTCTTTTTTTCCTTGGCAGTGAAAAAAATGTTGGTGTGATGAGATGTTTATTAGTAGGTCGACCATTAACATCATGTCAATGTTTTGTCACGCCTTTATATATATATATATATGTATGTATATATATATCCTGTCAAATGTAGGCCTTTGAGCTTTAGAATAATGCATAGGATTGAACTTGTCCTTTTTTTTAACGACTTGCATTTAAATGAAACCATAAAAATAATACATAGCTAGCCATATTATTTTAATAGTATCGATTATGAGTTTTTGAAAACGGGCCACAATGCGATGGCAGTACAACAGTTAGTTTTTAGAGGATGTAAATTGGCTTCATTTCATCATTTGGCCCACGAACACCATCACCATAAACTCCAATTGTAAATAAATGATGGTATAATATGGATTCGAAGTATCTATTATGTTTTTTGTCATAAAAGAAAAATGAGTAAAATTCCCAGTAAGACAACTATAACCATTCAGCAAGACACTCCATTGCAATCAGGAAGGAAAAGTAAAAGAAAAAAAAACTAGTTCGATGATCGTCACCAAAAGAAAATCTCAACAAAATCCTACAATAAAGAAAATCTTCCATCTCATCTCTAATCATTGTCACCAAAAGCAACAACAATAGGACTCCTAACATAATGCCTACCATCCGTCCATAATAGCGATCCAAATTCATATTCTTTAGTTGCACCATCCCACTTAGCTTCAAAAGTAACCTTAAAGCTCTTCTCGTCGCCTGTATTCTCGAATATCAAGATATTGGGCTCAACGGAGACCGAAATCCCTTATGGTTCTCGAACGTGTGCTGCATATGTTCCTGGTAAACCTACATTCTTCCCTTTTCTGATCACACTCATCGAGTTACGTACCAGCTTTACAGCAGTTGAAGGGTTGTTAAAATCGAAAATACTAGCCGACTCAGGACATTTATAGGGCCCGTCAGCAAAAGGTTCTATCATGGTAGAGTTGTATCCGCTAGCGCAAAGGAAGTCCAAGTAATCACTGATGCTCAAGTCATAGACCAAACCTGGATCCTGAGCACGGTTTGGTCTGATATGTCCAGCACCATAACTTAATGGTGTTGCCTTCATACCATCTCTCCCATCAATCATCGGTGTCATGGTCTTGGCTCTCGTTCTTGCTACAGCATAGAACACAAAAGAATGTTGGCATTCAAAAATCTACTAAAACATCCTACAATATTGAAAATTTCGGAGGCCTTACCAGTTGTCATGATTGCAGATCTAATTGCAGCTAGACTCCAATAAGGATGGAGAGTTCTAAGAAGCCCAACAACTCCTGCAACATGTGGACAAGACATAGATGTGCCAGATTCGGTGATGAAAGGAGACTTGCACTTATCAAAGTCCAAGTTAGTAGGGCTGACTGCTTCACTAATGGCTGCTATAATATTCACTCCAGGTGCAGTTATATCAGGCTGTACATTTTGAAACAAAGGGGATTTTTAGTCCTTGTGTGTTTTACAAGGCCATTGCGACAAATATGTGAAGATGGAAGACAACATATAAGATTAACAACAAAACCTTCAATATCTCTGGTGTGACAGCATTTGGCCCCCTGGAGGAGAACGCAGCCATGAATGGAGCAGGTTTTGTTCCCAACTTCGCTGTTGGTGCGAAATATATCCCAGAGGATGGCTGTTAAATTTTGAAACGCATAAGAATTGACAAAACTAATGTGTGAACTGTGAAGTGAGTAGACAAAAAAGGGAGGTGGTAGAGCATACTCACTGGAATTAATGTAGGCAAATACAGCAAGACCATCTGTATAAGTGATTTCTGATACCGGGAGAACATGAGGATCTGCTATGATTTCGTTACCACTTGCCTTGTCATTGCAAAGGATCATCCCTGCTGCACCAACTAAAGCAGCTTGGTAGCCCTGATCCATTCTTCCAGTTTCTCCCCTGAGACACACCAATATTTTACCTTTGGCTTTCTCATGATCCAATGATCCAGGCTTACACAACAAGCTGCATAACAAATAAACGACATCATCGCCTCTTACTCTGTACAAATTTCAATTTGATTCTATAAAAATTTGGAATAATCTTATCTTACGCGTCTGCGGCAGATGCATTGGCAGCCTTGGCTTGTTCCCCAGTAATGAGGGGATATAATTTATTTTCAGGCAAAGGTGCAGAAAGGCTTGTGCCCTGCCATGTCGAGAATGAAAAGCACTTAAGAGGCTAGCTACAAGGAAAAGAAATGAAATAAGGGTCTGGTTTGTGAAGGAATGTGAACCTGGATGCGCTTCCCGCTATGTAACTCCACAAAAGTTTGGAACTCTCTATCCAAGGTACTTGCTCCAACAGTTATAATCCAAGGTGCAGTATTAGTGACTTTTCCGTCCATTGGTCCAGAATTTCCTGCAGAGCACACGACAGTGATACCATTTTTTACGGCATGGAATGCTCCAATTGCAAGGCCATCATTGAGGTAATCGGTAGGTTCTCCACCAAGTGACACTGAAATCACATCAACTCTATCATGTATGGCCATGTCAATGGCCTTCATGATATCTGAATCGAAGCAGTCACTGCCATTTATCGACGGCCAGCACACCTTGT